TGGCTTAACTCTGAAAATAATCTGATCCCCAAATTAAAATTTTTAAAGACACATTTTATGAGGAAAAAAAAAATTCAAACACATGAAACACAGATGTCAAAAAGAAAAAAGAAAAATTCAACTCCTTCACCAGTAAAATTCAAATGAGAGTAAAATAGTAATACTTTTTATCAAATTGGCAAAAAATTTTTTTCAAATTATTATACACAGGATGAAGGAAAGAGAGCATAACCATTTTTTTTTAAGCTTATACTGGAGTATGGTTGATTTACGATGTTGTATCAGTTTTAGATGTACAGTAAAATGCTTCAGTAATACACGTACGTGTATCTGTTCTTTCCAAGTTCTTTCCCACGTAGGTTATTACAGAGTATTAAGTAGAGGTCCCGGTGCACTGCAGTAGGCCCTTGTTGATTATCTGTTTTGTTTATTTTTGAGTTGGTTTTTATTGGCGTATAGTGGCTTTACCATGTTATGTTGGTTTCTGCCATGCAGAGTGAACCAGCCGCATGCAGACATGCATCCCCCTTTCTGGACTTCATCCCCACTTAGGTCACCACCGAGCACTGACTAGGGTTTCCTGTGCTGTTCAGTTGGTTTTCCATTTTATACGCAGGAGTAGGCACAGCCTCTCTGAAGAGTAACTGATTGGGCACTATTTACCAGGATGCTTAAAGGGAGCGCATGAACACTTGCAAACAGCGCCAGAGAGCAAGAGCCAGTGCCGGCCTGGAGGGCAGCACACCCAGGCCAGCCTTCGCTCAGCACTCCCGCTTCTAGGGATCCATCCTAAAGAGACAGTTGGGCCGATGTTCAAAAACGTGTGTTCAAGGTGTTCTAGTGCCTGCAGTATTGTGCAGAGCTGTGAAAAAGTGTAATTCTCTGAGGGTCCAACTGGAGACTGATGAAACAGGTACCTTCTGACAAATTAAAATGAGCAACTGCTAAAACGAAGGAGGAAGCGGTATGTGCATGCCTGTGGAAGGCTGTCCGATGACACACGGGCCAGTATAAAGTGAGCTGCAGAATACCACGTACGGCGCAAAGAGCATGTATGTTCACATGCAGAGTCCCCAAAAAGTCAGCAGGAATTAGCTGTGGGCTCTGTGACTCTGAGCGATTTTTATTTTCTCATTATGAATTTCTCTTCCGCTTGAATTTTTTTTCCAATGAGTATATATTGTTTTCATAGTAATAAAAGAGTTATTTTTAAAAGATGAAGAAAATAATGCAGGATGGGGAAGAATTAGAGATTCGTAACCTGTAGCTCTATGTCCTGGAATTTAGCCAAAGGCCATAGTATATATAGTGTCTAAACTGGGACGTTTATCATAGCAATGCTTATAACATTGAAAGCTCATAAACATTCATGTTCTATTTAAATAAATTCTAGTATTAGAATTAGATTATGAATGTAGCGATATATTAACTTTGACTATTTCATAGTATTATTGGCAGGTGAACCAAAGGCAACTGAATCATTTTATAAACATTTTGGATTTATTCATATTCACATATATATCAGGGCAGGAAAAAAGTCCAAAAGGATATAGGCCAAAATGTACACTGTCCTCACTAATGATTCTTGTTTTTCTTTCCTACAATTTCAAGTATTTCTACAATAAAGTATTACTTAGGCACTTTCCTAAGTTTTAAAAATATTCCTTATAGACCTTTCAAACTGTATAATAATGTAAAGCAGTTATAATGGTACTAATCTGTGAAAAACAAAGGAACAAGAATCTCAACCCTTTCCTCCAGCATCGGATTTACCGTCCAGAGACCCCCGGGGAAGCCCCTGCTGCTGACCTGCATGTTGTAAAGTCGTGAATGCCACATGGATACAAAACAAACTCAGGAAGCCCAGGCCACCTCTTCTGATTTTTATGTCCTGAGATGTACGAGGTTATAAAACAGACTGGCTCAGATTACAGGCTAAGCATGACAAGTCTCTCGGGTACAACCTAACAAAGGAATTTACAGAATGAGAAATGTACACTTTTCATTTCCCAGGCTGGCATGAATTTCAGAAGCAAAAAACCCACAGTAGGGCTGGGTCCTTTGACAATCCTTGCCTGTCAGTCTCCTCTGCAGGCTTCTGAACTGGGCCTGATGCACAGTCCCCGTGACACAACGTACCCACCACTATTTTAAACAAAGACAAACTAATATTTTTTAAAGGTGAGTCGAGGGAGGAGTGAGAAAAGTGCCTTGGTAACAGGGTCCAACTTTTTCTCTCTTTTCAGGTGAACGGGGGGTGGGGGGATGCCAGACTCCCTCCCTCTGGCTGTCCCTCCCTCAGATCACTGTGGCTGATAACAATAGTTTTACTCTCTGGGGCAGTGTAGATGACACATTTTCCTGTAGCCTGTCTTCCGGTAAAGTGCAGGAATTCCTGCACTCTGTTGATGCCCTTCCTGTTAACTTACATTTCAGATTTCCTCAAAAGGCATTCTGCCACTTTAATATTTGAAAAATGTCAGCTCAACCCCAGACAGCTAATATAAACAAGCTGAAAAGCCTACCACCTAAAGTTACAACTGTGGAAAACAGAATTTCTTTTTAAGAAATTCTTTCTGGGAATCTCACTGTTGGTGAGGCTGGAGAGGAGTAAGCCAGCCCTCCCAGCTCCCAGGGAGTCTGTAATTCTTTTGCCTCTGCTGTGCCTTAAATTAGAGGTCTGAAAAACTGAATTACAGTGATCTAGAAGGTTCGTAAAGGTCCTTGAATTGAACATGTTGTTAGATTCTTCAATACTATGAGGTTGTAGCCACCTTTTGCTTTTCCTTCATTTCATTTGGTTATAGTATTACAAAGAAGTTTGGTACTGCGAGGAAAAAAAAAAAATCTTGGCCATTTGAGAATACCGTGGCTGAATTAGACCAGGTCCACACTGAAAAGTCTAGGCCAAAAGTCTCTGCCATTTCTGAAATGATCACACACTTCCTTCCATCAAAAAGTTTTCGTCTGGACAGGAATCCCACGTTCACACCAGAGGCACCTTCCACATGGGATCCAATTAAGACAACCACTTGGATAAACAGGGATCCATGTGAAGGATTGCCAGCACGTGATGTATTATGGGAGCACCCATCATGGAAGAGGGTCATGCTAATTTCTCTGTCAGCTTCCCAACTTCCTCTGCTAGGAGGGAGCTGCCTTAGGAGCGAGCCCCCAAAATGCACGAAGAAACATAATTGAGTTTAAACCCTAAGGTCCAAAGATAAGCTCACTAGAGCCCCACCTTCTTTTCTCCCAGAGAGGAGAAGCCCACTGCCATCTCTAAATTACAAATGCACCATTTCCTGTCATGATCTAAGCAAGTAACTTGCATCACAATAATTTGTATACATGCTCTGTTTCACCAAACACAAGTAAACTCCTTGAATGAAACACTTACATATGAAATATTTTTATATGTCCCCAAATCCTGTGCCAAACATACACACATATACACAGATACACAGCTATCACCATGTATCCACTCATTTATTAAAATGACCTAAATGCATGAGTGAATATACAGCAAATACAGAGTAACCAGATGCCTTGTCTCTCATACATCAAAGCCTGGAATGCCCTTCTAAGCTATGATTTCTCTGCTCAATTAGGAGACTGTATTCACAGGTTTTACCGATATTAAGGAATACAGGCACTTCACAATGCCAATTCCTAGGTACTTGGGTGCTCTTAGCTTTTCAGATTTGCATTTTCCCCCAATACCCAGAAAAAAGAAAGAGCCTTACTTTGAATTTTTGAGAATATATGCTACTTCCTTCCTGGGCTGAGAGGTATGACCCCACTCCCATCACACAGCTCCCCCAAAAAGTAGCAGGACGCACGGGAGACACTTGAACTCCCTGGGACTGACTTACTCACCCTGCGGAGCCCCCTCCCCTCCCTGGCGCCCACCCCTCCCCTCCATACATTCTCGAAGGGCATGTGCTTTCCCCACGCTCAACAGGATCTGTTCTGAAACAAGTCACAGTCTCAAGGCCACCTGACAACACACCCTCATCTCTATAATGTCACGTCAGGATCTCTATATTTTTAATCCCCTAGTCTGACATTAGGTCTGTAAAATACAACTGTGTAAAAAAATTAAAAAAAATTTTTTCAAGAAAAAAAAAACCCATAAAACAACCATAACCCTGAACTTCTGACCTATTCTAAATATAGGCAATTACACACTTATAAGATTTCATTATGGTTGTCAATGAAACCGTGCAGTCCCCCCACCTTGGTGTAAAGCTTAGAAGTACAGTTTTTCTCCCAATATTTTCCCTGGAGATGCAAAGCATCGCCCAAATGGGAAAACATAAAACATCGATGTCCTTATTGCTGCTTCTAAATACTGTGAACCAATAAGCAATTAGCGTAAAGTGCAAAATCTCGGAAGAGAAAGACGTCTTGTCTGCTTTTTTGTAAAATGCTATCACTCACCTTTACTTCCTTTAAAAATCAAAAGTTGCTTAATGTTCAGAGCGATATCAATGGAAATTTAGCTAAATACTAGCACCGCAACGGTTCATTCCCAAAGGAATATAAGATTACATTAATTTCCTACTAGTTGAACTCAAGTTTTACCTTTCATCTTCATCTACCGACTTTTTAAAAGTTCGGATTCCTGTTGCACATAAGATTACCTATTATATCTGTGCATACTACAGAATTTTACAATTACATAAAGCATTGCACATTCAGACGCTACCAACCTGCTCTATCTCTCCTGACTGGGCAAAAGGCAAAAAAGAGCTCAGCAATCCTAGCAGAAGAATGCAAATAACGTCAATGCACAGCTGAACTGCAAGCCCTGCCTTACAGGAACTCTCTGTGTCTGCAAAAAAAAAAAAAGACACATACTAAACAGGAAATGCAACTGAGCTGTGGAAAACCTCAAACTTAAAAATGCAATCGCCAGGCGTAAATTGCATCCATGCATTCATAAATGCATGCACAACCCTTTGCATTTTTTGCAAGTAATGCAAATAGGCTCTTACCTTTCGACTGAGACATTTTCCCCTTTCCTTTGATGGGGGAGGGGAGCACAAAAGACTTTGCCTTGCTTCTCTTCTGTAGCTAGTTTTGCAACAAAGATGCAAGCTGCAGGCGTGCAATCTTCATGCAAGTGGAGTTTCTCTTGACCGAGGCAGCAGATGGACTTCCAGGGGATCCAGATGGAAATGCACACCTTGCAAAGCAGACTGGAAAGTGATTTTTCCCCCAGTTGCAACGTTAGGGAAGGCTGTGCTGCAGCTACATGATGGGCCAGGGCTGGCAGCTAAAAGCTCCAAACTTGGAACTGAGTATCTTAGTGCGCAGACGTCCTTCCTGCGAAGGGCGCGGGGGCCGCTGGGAAGTGTAGTTCCTGCGCGGAGTCCGCGGGGCCCTGACTTCAGGACACGTGGTCTCGCGGGTCGCTGCGCGGGAAGATTGGGGGCGGCAGAGCTTGCGTCCAGGTAAACAAGTCGGACACGCACGCGGTGCCCGGTGACGGGAGAATCAGGGCAAGGCCAAGGGGAGCGGGCATCTGCGTTCTCCAAAAGCTCCCGAAACAGCAGCTAGAAAACACTGGTTTGGCTGAAAACCACTCGGCCGGCTCAGAAAGGCAGTTTCGGGGTTCACGTGTTTGCAGGGCAGTACCAGTTGGACGGCTCCGCACTGTAGATGTTTCTTTTCCCCCACTTCAAACGTCCGTTTTTTAAAAAGCTTTTTCTTGCCTGGAGAATTCTCTGGTGATTTGGCCAGGGGGAGGTGGCTGCAGGGAAGATGCAAAGTTTTATTTAGTAAGCAGAGATCCAGGTCGCTTTGGGGAATCTGAAATTCAGTGCTGAGGCGGGGTAAAGGCGGGGGGATGGGGCGTTCTCAGGAGGAAGTTCTGCTTTTTGTGGGTCAAAGCACACTTTATCAGAGTTAAATTGTTTAGATGTTGTTTCTCACCTGGAGGGGGCTAGGAAAGTCCCCTGGCCTCAGGGAGAAAGTGGGTGGTCATGCTGTACTGACAGTCAGATGTCTCGCATTTGTTCAGCAGAATTTACCGAGTTTTGTTGAACCCCTGGCGTGTGCCAGGCCCTCTCCAGGACCTGGGGTCAGTCGGTAATGCTCATGGCTAGGAGCTGGACAGCAGGTGGGCAGAGAGGTCGCCCCTCAGGGAAGCAGGCAGGCGTGGGGCATTCCTTGCAAGGGGTGGAGGGGACCTGGGCTGAACTGAGCTCAGACCTCCTCACTGAGTGGACCAGACTCAGAAAGGTGCTTTTCAGGTAGAGGGTGGGACTGAGGGTGGAAACCTGCTGAGGCGTGAACAAGCATAGTGGGCATCTGCGTGTGTGCTCTGTCACGTCTCGCACTGAGACCCCATGGGCTGCAGCCCGCCAGGCTCCTCTGTCCAGGGGATTCTCCAGGCAAGAATACTGGCGTGGGTTGCCTTGCCCGCCTCCAGGGGATCTTCCCCACCCAGGGATCGAACTGGCGTCTTCTGTGTCTCCTAAACTGCAGACAGACTCTTTCCCGGCTGAGCCGTCGGGGAAGCGGGGTGTCCATCTGAGGAAGCCCGGTTTAGGAGAGAGCGAGGAAGCCTGTCTACACTGCATGCGGACGTGGGAGTGGGTGGGATTCACAGTGGGGGCTCTTAAAGTCGGGCCAGAGGCTTGGGCTTTATTCTGCAGGTATTGGGTGCTGGTGAAAGGGCTTTGGAAAGGGATGTAACTGAATCAAAGCTTTGTTTTAAGAAGGTAAATATGCCCTCAACGATCAAGATGAGTTGAAACCAGGAGAAGCTAGAGATAGGTCAGGTTGGTAGCGAAAGGCAAAAAGAGGCACTTTGAAAGAGGGTTCAGCTGTGTTTGATGACCGCTGACGAAAACTATTGGAATTTTATTAAGAATTCTAAGAAGCCAGGGCCTTCTGAGTAATGGATGAATCAGAGGGAAGAAGGCCACCATGTTTCAGCTACAAATCAGCTCTTAAAAGAAATATGCAGTAGGTCATGGAGCTAACATCAATTTACTTAAGTTGATCCCCTCTGCTAACTTGAATGAGAATTAATCAAGGTCACCTCATGTTCATATTAGCTTCTGGCTCTAAAAGGAAGGCTCTTGGTCCCATGAGCCCAGATCCAAAGACTTGCTGTTTTCCTTTCTTTCACTATCTTTCTGAGCAAATCCATGCTGTGTATTCCTCCCTTTCTTGCACGTACAATCTGAGGCTTATTGAACCAGCATTTTCCCCCTTAAGTTTCATTTAAGTAGGAGACAACGTGGGCATGGAGATCCGTTTCAGTGCATCCAGTTCACTTTTCCAAGCATCGATGCAGGAGCAGCCACGGGCCTGAACTCACTAACATTTGCATTTTGTGTGGTCAGCAGCACTGCTGTCTCTTGAATTGCCCCAGACTCCCGTCTTTCCTGAAGAACTCGAATCACATCGTGTCTGGGGCGTTTTGCTGCAGTAGTTGTACTTGGACTTTCTCTGCGTAGGCGTGCAGCGTTCACAGCAAGTGGCTTATGTCCCGCAGGTCAGTCTCCATTCATATTCCTATAGAGACAGTGATGTGTTTAATGACCAGTGCACACACACATATGCACACACCTATGCCAAACACCTTTGACCTTTTGTTCTTGTTCAGTCGCTCAGTCATGTCTGGCTCTTTGTGACCCCATGAACGGCAGCACGCCAGGCCTCCCTGTCCTTCACCATGTCCTGGAGTTTGCTCAAACTCATGTCCATTGAGACGGTGATGCCATCCAACCATCTCACCCTCTGTCGTCCCCTTCTCCTCCTGCCTTCATTCTTTCCCAGCATCAGGGGCTTTCCCAGTGAGTCGGCTCTACTCATCAGATGGCCAAAGTATTGGAGCTTCAGCTTCAGCATCAGTCCTTCCAATGAATATTCAGGGTTGATTTCCTTTAGGGTCAGGGTTGATTACCTTTGACCATAAATTGAGCCATATATATTTTTTAAACCTTTTGTTTTGTGTTGAAGTGTAGCGGATCCCAGTGTTGTGACAGTTTCTGGTGCACGGGAAAGGGACCCGGCCAGCCGCATACCTGCGTGCATTCCCCCCCAAACTCCCCTCCCACCCAGGCTGCCGCGTAACTTGGAGCCGAGTTCCGTCAATGTGATTTACAGTTGGCAACGTATATCATTTTTTCTTTCTGGGAAAAACATACTTTGAATTTCCACAGGGAACTCAGCCTCTCTGCAAAGGCTTGGAGTCCCAAAGGAGAAGTTCTTCTCTTGTACAAGTGGTAACAGGCTCCCTCCAGCTCCCTCCTGGGTGGAGGAGGAGGTTGTATTCCTACATCTGTGCAGTGGAGAGCTGCTCCTCTTCTGGGAGTTTGTGGATGTGCTCCTGTGAGGAGGACCCCGCCCTTGGCGGTGAGTGTGCAGGACATCAGGTGTTTCTGTTCCGGTGGCCTGTGCTCTTACTTTGAATTCTTCGTCTTTAAAATTTTCTGTGCTTCAGATCTTTCTAGAATACAAGGCAGTCTCGAATACAAGAACTCCAGGCAGTCTCCCCCAGCTTCTTGTCACCTTCGAGGCCAAAGCCAACCTCTCAAGCTGGGTGTAATAGGTTCCTTGAGACCTGGGTCCTGCTTCTCTGCAATTCAAATTCTCATCCTGTGTTGCCGCTACAGGTGCTGCAGCCGGAAGCCAGGATTGCTCCGTCCCTGCTTTTTAAAAAAAAAAAAATCCAAACTTTTATGGCTGCCCTAATTCATGTTTGCAGGAAAGTCCTGATTATTTCCTACAGATGTTCAGTGTTCGTAGATTCCAATCTATGCCTTTCTTGAGGAAATTAATAGTTTATATAACAACTGACCAAGTCATAAACCGAAAATAAGAATATAATGAAGGAGAAAAAAATTAAATTAAAAAAAATTTTGAATACACATTGAGACCAATTTAAAAATAGAAGTGAGTCATACTAAATGGGAACTGAATGCAGAATAATCCTAAAAATAAGATGTTTTTAACATTATATGATAATCTAATAATAAAAATCTGGCCTTCGCTTTTTTATTTTTTTATTGGAGTATAATTGCTTTACAATGCTGCGTTAGTTTCTGCTGCACATAAAGTGAATCAGCCATATGCACACACGTACCCCCTCCCGGCTGGACGTCCCCGCACCCCTCTCGGTCATCACAGGGCCCCGGGCTGAGCTCCCCGTGCGGCCGAGCAGCTTCCGCGGGCTGTCTCTTTTACGCGTGTATGAAGTTAGTCGCTCAGTCGTGTCCAACTCTTTGTGACCCCATGGACCGTAGCCCGCCAGGATCCTCTGTCCAAGAGATTTCCCAGGCAGGAATCCTGGAATGGATCACCTTTCTCTTCTGCAGGGTATCTTCCCGACCCAGGGATCGAACTCCGGTCTCCTGCGTGGCAGGCGGATTCTGTACCGTCTGGGCCACCTGGGAAGTCCTGTTGTACATGTCGTAGTGTGTATATGTCGATAGCACTCTCCTGATTTGTCCCAGCCTCTCCCTCCCGCCCGTGTCCACATGTGTGTCCTCTACGTCCACCCTCCTTGCTTCTAGATACCCTGCTCCCTCTGCCTGGCACGCCTTATCCATTCTCCCCTTAGCTCCTTCAGATTTGTCCTTGAGGATGCTCTAAGCGAGCACATCCTCTTGGCTCCATCCTGGGATCATCACCCTATGGCCACCCTCAGAGTGAGGAGTGAATTCCCTCCTTCTAGTACCCTGCCTACAGCACCCTCCAGACACTCCCCCGAAGGCAGACAGGTGTTTGCTGTCACCTGCGTCTCCCCCAGGAGGCTGACCTGCTGGAGATCACAGAGACTGATCTCTTCATCCCCCGTGCCCAGCGTGGAGCGTACAGTAGGCGCGCAAATGCACGCTGTAAGTGAGGGGCAGAGAAGACCTGTCAGCACGGTGACCTGGAATAACTGGATTCCGGGGACCGAGGTCACCGCTGCAGGGGAGACTGGAGCCCCTGGGAGGAGCCCTTTGTCGTCAGGTGAGAAGGGGGAGACAGTGGAAAGAGGCCCTTAGGTT